GATAGTAATGCCTGTGTGAATGAAAGTTCTTCTGTTCTGTAGTTACAACAGATAGGAAATTAAGTTTATACAGAAGTCAGTTTACGTGAAAAAAAAGTTTGCTAGCTGTTTTACTATGTATGGTTAGAGTTTGACTAACTCTCTCTACTAGGAAAAAAGAAGAGAGTTGTGAACAATGGATTCCACTCATTCCTCTAGAAAATCTGGCAATTAGATGATTGAAATTTGAAGTACCAAGCTATTCTGTACTCTAATGGAAAATGCCGTCACGTATCTGTGAAGATCATCTGGCCTCAAATACATTGAAAAAAATTACTGTTTTATTATGTATTCCAACTATTTGAATATTTTTCTTCCGTAACAATAAAAAAACCTAAAGTAAAGAACAGTTTATCTGCAAAGAATTTCAAACATCATTGCTTTTTGTCAAGAAAAAAAAAGCAGGAATTCTTGAAGATTAAAGGTGCATATAATTTATGTATCTTCCTGTGCCCAATAATTTTTTCCTGCTATTGGCAAGCTGAGTTTTGAATGTCAGGTGGGCTTTGGATCTACTTAGCTGAATTTCTTCCCAAGTCAATGTGAATTGGCATTGTGTAAAATTTAAAGATCTGAAAAATATCAGCTAGTATTATGAAAGTATAAACATGTACAGTAAGGATAATATTTAGCTTTTACAGAACACTTTTCATCCGCTGATTTTAAAGTACTTTACAAGCGATCAGCTGCCTTACCCTGATTAGCCATTCTGTTGAAACATGAATTGATAGGGTATGCTTGTAAAGAATTATTTTGTCACTTGTGACTCCTAGTGTTATTCTGGTGGTTTACCCTTTTAATTCTTTTGATGTTTGAAAACACACTTGCTAATGATGTTTGTTTAATTTGCAAGATGTATCAGGCTTCAGAGTTGCTGAAATATTTGCTAAGGAGCTGTCCTCACTTAACCATTCATGTTTTCACTTCCAAGAATTCTTCATGGTTTCAGGATAGATCAGGAGCTGTTAGCTATAGAACCAATTCTGCTGTTTGAAAATTTAAGCTATTTGTAGTTATTTTGATTCTGCAAGAACTTATCTAGAATGTCTCTAGATTCTCTAGAGTATCTCAGTTGTTACCTGTTGTTTTGATTTCATAAGAAGCTCTGCTCTTCAAGTAGTTCACTCCCATAAATGAGGAGAGGGCAGAGCAGCGTATGTCTTCAGCCTTGTAAAAGTGGAAATAGTGGTTTTTAAAGAGGTTGGCATCTACAGACTGATCTGAAGTTGTTTGATTGGTAGACTTCAAACCTGGTTTATTTTTGCCTTTCATCTATTTTAATCTGACTAAATAAAAGGAAAATCCTTTTAGTTCTTAAACGCTGAATATTTTAGTTTTGTTATTTTCTGTTTTGTTCTTTCACCTCTGCTTCTGATGCAAGGCAATCAAGCTGGAAATTCTATTTGTTTATATTACTGTGTATTTATTTTTTGGGTTTGAAAAATTATCATTTTCCTGTAGGAACTCTTAATTTTAACTTTCATTTTCCATACTTGCTACTTTGTCTTCAGTGGTATGAATACACAATTCTGTCCCTCTGAGATGGGACTCTTCTATATTTTAAACATCAGCTTTTCTATTCCTATGTGTTTCAAGCCTTTAGAATGGTAATGCCTAGATATGGGACTTTCTCTGTCTTTTTAAGACAATTTAAGTTTAGCACTTAAGTCAGAAGAAAATGAATTCTCTAGCAAGATTATCCTGGGAAAGTAATTCTGAAAATAATCTATCATAATAATTTATTTAGTCATGGCACCAGCTGTTTATATTTCTGTCACATCTCATCATATTCTGTTTGTACATCTGCCCACAACTGATGTTTTCCAATCTGAAGTAAAAGCAGACATGCAGATTATGTTTGAATTTGGCATAACTTTTTTTTTTTTTTGGGTAGATATCAATTTTATGCAGCTCTAGAATGTGTCAATTTATTTTGAATGTGCAAGGGGAAGATATGATGGCTGTTCCCTTCAGCAACTTATCTGCGTATGTTTATGTAAATGATATTGCTACTTTAACTGGGTCCATGCTGGCTTCAGATTTTCATTGTTGGCTGAGATGGATAATTATTAATATTAATGGATAAGCTTTTTATAAAATCAGAAGATTGATTCCTTGTCCTGTTACTGTGAGATCTGAGAGAACTGTGCTTCACAATACTGATGTTAAACATAATCTGATATCTAGAATAATTCAGTGGAAAATACTCAGTATTTGGATGTATGTGCTGCCAGGGACTATAAACATATGGTATGCTGTTATTCCTGTATTCTGAAGGAACATAGTGAGCATTGACCTAGTCTGCCATGCCAAAGAATTATTAATCTGATACCAAGAGTATGAAGATGATTTTTGTGGGAAATGATTAGACAATAAATTGTGATAGCATAAGGAAAGATCGTATTGATGTAAGAAGACTGTAGTAGTCACTCTAAACATGACTCTCTAAATTAAATTTCATCTTTTATATTCTCAGCACGTTAAATACATAGCGGGATAACTGATCCAATTTACATGTCTCTTAATTTGCATCTAGAAGCATAAGGAGAAACAACAGAACGTAATTTGACAGCTGCAGTGATACATTAGCTGAAGGGTTGTGACTGGCCATTCTTTTCTTAGTCTGTACTACACAGGGATTTTGCAAATCTGTCACTGACCTTGTGAGACAGATAATCTCTTTTTCAAATTTGGCCAAGTTTGAGGGCAGGACCATGATGGGGTTTGGCATCCCAAGGCGTGGTTCTTCAGTTCTGGACTCTCAGACCCTAATCTGCAGTACTGAGTTAGACAGTGAGCTTTCTCTACATGTGTGTGTGGGAACCCTCTCTGAGAGGAGATGGTGGATTTAGGAGGTTGTTGGCCAAGGCATGTCCAAGGTCTATCTCGTGGATCTGGACCTTTGTTTGCTTTGACTTCTGCAAGTAGCACTAACAACATGCTCTTATGAGGATGTTAGAAAGATAAAGGCACAAAGAGCTTTCAGGAGGGTACTAGAAACCCCACAAAATTCATAGGTGACTTAGAAAATAGTCCAGAAAAAAATAGGAGTAAGAGAGGAAGGCATATGGCTGGATTGAGAGGAGCAAGCAAGAGGCGGCAGGTAGTTTCACCGGAAAAGATTGCTGAAGTTACTTTAAGAACCATGTAAAATGCAGACCCTTTCAATGGAAAAGTGCTTTCACCACTTGAATGATTTAAAGTCCTTAACTGAAAATAATACTTTTCAGTGCAGAAATGAAAGAAAGCTAGCTAAGGCAAATATATTTCCTAAATGTAGGAGAACAGATACGAGCGTACAAAATTCTGGGGTTTTTTGGTGCTTTAGTAAGTTTTGATAACTGTAAGAGTGAAAGGCTAGACTGTTTTCTCTTTGAAGAGTGCAGTAACTTTTTTGCAGCATTGTTGATTTGTGTTACAATGAAAAAAGAATCAGATGTATTCTGACTTTTCTCCAGCCTTCAACTGTCTTTTCAAAGACAAAATTTTTGTTGTGCTTCTGCATTTTAAATTAATTTAGGTTGTAAATATTAGCTTATGTAAGAGAGCAAATTGAAATTTCATGTATACTTGTACAAATCTGACATGCTGAAGAATGAGAGATGCTGAAGCAGTTCTGTTCACTACTAGCAGCATCAGTACCTAATCTGCCTCTCTGTTTTGGGTGTTGAAAAAGGATATAATTTAAGTTCCTGCATTTAGAGTAAATTAGGGGAATAGCAGAAGAGATGATGTAGTTATCCAAAAGCAGACAGGAAACTTGGTTTCTATAATACTTCCAGGACAAAATTCTTCCAGTACTTCAAGTAAGCCCTGCCTAGTTTTACATTAATAATAGTATGCTAATGATGAGTCTAAAAGACTTAGCAATTGACTGAGATTTGAAGAAAATAGTAAACAGGAGAATGAAGAGTGGTGAAAACTAAATATTCTGTAAACAGGATTTTGTTGAGCATCAAAATAGATTGAAATAAACTTCTGTGAAACACTTAAAGCATTTTGAAATTAATTAACTTTTGAATTATTTCAATACTAATTTGTGGTTTTAAGTGTTTTACATTCTTAAAAAACTGACATACAATAATTTCATTACTCAGTTTTTCAGTTATATTAAAAAATAATTTAAACCATGTTTTACTTGCTTGAAGACAGTAGTGGATTATAAACAATTGGAGGCTGTACCTTAATAATTTTGAGATCTGTTTAAAAAAAGAGGGGGGGGGGTGAGGAAAATAGATTAGTCTGTACATGCCAAATATGAAATTTATATGTACATAACTGAGATTTGCCTAACAAAATGTAGCTTTGGAAATAGCACTTCTCATCATTTTGTGATGTTCCATGTGGAAATATAAGAAAATGGTATAAGTTTTAGTAAAAAAAATCATTGCTATCTATTCTTCCTTCATGTTGGATAAGAGTAGCCTTTTCCTGGCTGATCCATAAATTAGGGATAATGCTCTTATGACTACTCCTATTTAGGGCAAAGGTAACAAGTCAAAAAGAATTGCTTGTAAAAAGGAAAACAATGTAGCCTTGGGGAATAGCAGATTTTGTGCTATGCATTTTGATTCATGTTCCTAAAAGGTCTTGATAATTTCCTTTCAATGTGAAAGCTTCATAGCATTACTGTAATTACATTCCTGAGAGGAGTTCAGATGTATAAATTAATCTGTTCACTGCATCCACTAGACACCTAAAAGATCTGAACTATCTCATGAAGGCTGAGAGCTATATAGGGTTCTTGCTCTTGGGCTCTTGTTTTCAGTTGTCTGCTAGTCTTCAGAGTCAGCTCAAGACTGGCTTCTAGAGGCCCTGCCTGCACTGCTGTCCTGCAGCCTGCTCCAGAAGTGCCTGTCCCTGGGGGCAAGCGTGCCACTGCTGAGGACATCCCTGAAGAACTGAGGACCAACTGTCCCGGTGAAGCTTTGGCTAGGAATAGTATTGACAACAAGCAAAACTTTCATTTCAGCCTTTAATTGACTGTCATAAGTAAATTCTTGGTACATAAGACTTTTCTTTATACTCTTTTTATGTGCATATTTGTTAGATTTTATTTAAATAACTTTATACACAATATTGGAATAATCTGTTACATTAATGCACAGCTTAAAACAGTTCTTATTTACACTGATCACAGAAAGACAGAGGAATGAGGACAAATACTTTACATTCACCATCTTCATCAGCATTTTAAGTATAGTTAACCAGCACACATCACACACATCCACATCCATATTTATAAGAAATGTAGTTGCTTCTAAGTACACACATGGGCATGTAGGTGTCTCCCTTTCAAAAATAAAAAAAAAAGTAATTGAAATGCCATTTCCCCCAGATAACCAAAGACTTACAAAAAAAAGGCAAATGGACCTGCAGATTGCACAATTAATGTAATCAGGCATGGAAATGTAGTGGCTGTGTTTGGACACTATTGGTCACTGGGGTGCTTTGGAGAGTACTTTTACTAGTGGAAAGTTTTGAACTCCTATGAAAACTTGTTCCTGAAAACTGCAGTGTCATTTCTTGCTTTGGAAGTAGATCTACTAGACACTAACACATTTGGTTTAATGTTGTCTAACAACACAAAATTGCAGCCAAAGGATGCTCTGAATTTTTTTTTCTTTTCCTTTTTTTTTTTTTTTTTTTTATTAGAATATAAATTAAAAACACATGACTTCCTTCTATGAGATTAAGGCAGCAATGGAGAATATTGTGCTACAATGCGCATTAGCTGTAGATAATGTTCTATTCTCCTTTATCACATTTTTACATTTATAATCAAAGGCCAACATACTGAACTAGACTGGCTGACTACAAAATCTTATAATGGAGAAATAGGTCTTGTGTGATAACCTTGTTACATCAAAGTTGAATTTCTCGCCTTACAATATACACTTATATTCTATGAAAATTAAAAAAACTGGTAAAAATATTAAAATATTTCCTATACAGAGATACCCTTATCTAAGGTAAAGTCTAGTCACTGCTATAAAAAGGCATTAAAAATTAAGTAAAACACTGGTGTAAACCAAGTAAATGCTCACTATAAAGCTTTTATTTGTAAGGCAAATCTTCATCAGACCTATTAGAAGTTATATCCAAAATGTATTATTTGGAGATTCTCCCTTTGTAACTGATGCTACCCATAGCAAACAAAAGCTAAGTCTTGTAGATAGGTTCACAGAGTCCAACATAAATTACAAATGCAGGTCACCTGCAAGTTTGAGGCTTCTTGGCAGTGACCAAGAAACAACAAGACACCTTTAAAAGAGAGCCAGTTTAAGGCTTAGTCATTTGCTTAGTTCACTGAATATATTCTGTTTGCTTATTAAAGAAATTAAGCAACTTCTGTTTAGTGTGGCAGCTAACAAAACACCTTTAGAAAGGAGGAAAGCAAAGCACACACGTGGCCCAATCTTGCTGTCAGTGCTTAGGCAAAGGTGCCCCACTGTTCTCAACCTGAAAGCTACCGGCAGTAATGGTTAACTTGCAGGAGGGCTGCACTGCTGGACTGGCACTTCAGCCTCTCAGTTTCTTCTCTTCTCAGCTCCCCGCCAACCACTTGCATTGAAATACCTACATATTTTTCTGAGGAGGACAGTTTTGCTGAATACAATCGTGATACCTGTGTTACGTAGCCTTCTGGCTGTCTTGTTTCTCTGCGTGCTTCTGCTAGGTCAGGCATACAGTGATTACAATTTGTCTAAACGTATTCTGGTTTTACATGGTGAAGGAAAACTGATCAAATTCTCTACTTTACAGTGTAATATAGCTGCTTTTATGTTTTTCTGCTGGTTGAAATGTCTTCATTGGCCATCTAGTTCTCTATAGTAGTCTCTGATGCATGTAGATGCATCTAAATTCAGTCTCAGGCAGTGAACAATAACACTGTACAAATTAATTGCCAGCTGAGGATCTTGGTCCTATGTTGATTCCATTTTTAGTAGGAACAGTGTGCAAAGATGTGAGATTTTTTGGCCTAGGAAAAGTTTCTGTGTGTATGGCATGGCTTACAAGTCTTGTCATTCCCCAGCTAAGCTTAAGCAGGCAAAACCAAGTAGTTGTACATCTAATCACAGCTAAGGAACACATACATGCTTGCTCAGTAAGTCTGAGTGGTCTTGGCTGATTGTCAGCAAAAACTGTCTTTTGAGAATATGGGTTAGAGAGGGGCAAGTGCTTGGTGAAATGTTCCAATTTGAAGTCTGAGCAACACGCTGAAATGGCTGAACAAAGAACTATTTTCCACAACACAGAAACACTCAAATGTGGATGTTTGAGATAAAGCTGTTCTATATTATGATCCTCTCTGAAACTCAGTTGTGCAAGGTCACAGATGTAACAGGGCTTAACTGAAGGCTTAGCTTCTGTACGTGAACTTATAAACATTTTTTTCAGTCTGTTTTGCAGTATCCTGTACTAGTGTACCTTTTTTCTGAAGGAAGGCAGAATGTGGCTGGTTTTCTCATGTACCAGCTAGTATTAGTCAGTAAATGGAAGACCCTTAATAATTCAGGTGTCCAAGCAGCTCACAGATTCAGTCTTAAACAGTGATTTCTGGCCAGCTTTGCTTAAGATGGTCCATATGCTACTTCCAGGTTGTGTATAGATATGAACCTAGTAAGGTCACTTCAAGGTCTTCTTTCTGACTTCTGTGATGTATTATAAACAATTTAGCTTCATGTTCTAACAGCTCAACTTTCCACTGATTAGCTATGTCAGCCCACAATCACCAACAGGAACATGGGTATGAGTCAGAGGAAGGTAGACTGAAAAAGTGTTTTCCTTTGGAGGAGACTTTTTGGAGGTGTTTCCAGAAGATCTCTCTCCCTGTACTATAGCCAAAACACTCCAAACTTGTTCAAGGGTCTAATCTGAAACATTACGTTGATCTGTAAATTAAGAAGATTGAGGTTTTGCACATGAGCTGATCTGTGGCTCATGAATACTTTTAGCCCTGAGAAAATAAAGTGTATCAGAACAAATGTATCCTATTTTACTGCTCTGAGAGGCTCAGAGTGCACACCTAATTTCTGCAGGTAGATTATATACTGTCATTTGCTGAGCTGTGATAACTGTCTTACATCTGAGTCCTCCAGGCACATTTAACAATGTTTTAACAGGGCACTGCAAATGAAACATTTGTAGCTCTCATCTCTTTTGAAATTGTTGATCTACGGTTTCAATTTGGTTCTTAGGAAATAAATTCTTAAGTGTTTGCCAATGCCTCATGAAATTTAGTGAATCAGTCCAGGATATGAATGAAAGCTATTTACTCCCATAAAAGCAAGTATCCACTAATTAATGCTGTATGAGTTGGAAGAACTGCAAAAGAGACATTAAAAGCAAACCAACTTTCTACATGGCCTCCTACAACCTGACAGGACAAAATGAACTTAATTCATGTCAAAACAATAGTTTAAGAAGTGGATGTATATACAAAATGTTTGTCATTGACCTTTTTAAATAATAGCATTTAAATGGTATTTTGCTGAGAAGAAATGACCAATTATAGCAAATTTCCTCTGGGAAAATTACATACAGCATACATTGCACGTGCAGTTAGGGAATGTACAATAGTTAACAGCCAAGTATTTCTTCTACATTTTATATTTAAAATATCATGTTTGATCCTGGATTTCCTGCAAGATCCCTCACTATGGTAAGATGTCTTTCAAGTGTTGCCAGCGTATGCCTCAGGACATGACAGAACACAAGAAGGACTGACAAAAAAGATACGGTTCGAACAGGGGTCGAACACTAACTGGCACTAGTGCTTTTTTGACTGTTGCCCATGAAAGACCCACTGTTTCTACCAGAAATCTAAATCTATGGAGTTTTAGGAATGCAGCTTTAGAACAGTACCAAGTATCTGAAAAAATATCCTGCTGAATGAGAGCAGGATGGGAACAAAGAAAATGGAGGATCTCTTTCCTTGGTGTTAACTAACTGGCTGTGATTTGATGAAACCATATGGGTCACAGGCAGGAAGGAAGGTCAGAAAAGGGATTTTAATATATGTGATGGCTGCTTCCTTTATCAGACTAAAAAAAAAGGCTTTCAAGAATATATTTTCTGGAACTGTCAAATGAGCTATTTAATTGCTTCACTGAATTCTTCTCACTGGCTTGTTATTAAAACAATCAACATAATTAGCAAGCAGATGATACTGTATCTTGAATAAGCGTGTATCAGAAATTCTATTGTTTTAGAAGTGGGCTGCCTGCTCCATCAGCATATACTTGCAATCCCATGGGGATAGCTGGGAGAGCCCTGTTCCCCAGAGCAGTTCCCCTGTTCCCACCATAGGTATAGCTGAGGGAAAGAGCTAGCTGCTTGCCTGAAAGTTCAAGACTGAGTTAGGGGAAGATTTGCAGTTAAAGCACATGGGTGATAAGGACCTGATTGGGTGATTGTTTTTTGTTTGTTTGGTTTTTTTTTTTTTTTTTTTTTCAAACTACAAGTGTTTGAACTGAAGTGAGATGAGTATCTTAGTAGCATTTGATATATTCCATATTGAGAGTGTATTTGGGAGCTCAAAGCAGGAGGAGCTGGCTGCAGTTCTTATTGGACTGTCTGTACCATATCACTGAGTGGAGGAAAAGAATATAACCTGGTCTTCACAAAGGTGTTTGTCATTTGAATGGATGATAGTTTGTGTCTAATGGCATCATTTATTGTCCAAGAGGCATGAGGTAGTTGAGCATCTTATTCTGTGGAGAATTGAAGATATTGTTCTTCATCTCTGGGACAGAATTCGTATTATGTTTGGGGAGACTTCCTTTGGGCAACCTCTTGAACTTAAAGTCTAGCTGTGCAGTCATGTAATGTGTGTTATCTTTTTCATTCAGGCTATTTCTAGTGATAAGATTGCTGCTTTCTCTGATTTGTCTGTTGTCTTCTGTATAGATTGCAGGTTTTTTGTCTATAAAACTTCAGAACGAGATGGCAATAGTGCAATGGAGTCCTGAGCTATAAGTACTACACTAAACTGAAGAAGGCATACAGTAACAGAAATAAAAATAATGTAGCAAGTAATTGTCTTGGGAGTTGGTATTGAAAATACAATCAAACCCTAATATGCTGGGTAAAGCTGATTTCATTCCCATGTTAAGATAGCTTTGTTCCTATTTCACAGCAGACTGGTGATGAACTTTTCCTGCATGGTTTTTGCTATAGGGATAGTGATGATGGGGTGTGTCACAAGTGAACATTGATGGTTGTTGTCAGCATTTCCAGTCAGGATCGAACCAAACAATGCATAATTTGACAAGCTAGTAAAGTTCCATGTTAGAGCCCCCTAAGAGTTTAAAAACTTAGTAATTATATCTGTGCTAAGAAGCTTTTGAGCCATGCCAAGGCAGTGACTGAAGCAGCTGTATTACTGAAAAGTAAGCTTTATAACAATGAAAAGATTCTCATGTAGTTTAGCAAACAATAAAAATGGGATTAACTATGAAGTTAGTGGGATGGCTTTTTTGAAGCCTTCAACGTATATTCACTGTTTGGCCTCTTATGTAATTATGGAACTAGAACCGCAACATCTGAAATTCCTTTATTATTGAAGTGTATTTAATAACAGGGTTTAAACAGCTATCAGCCATCAGCTGGGCCAGAAAATAGGACTTCCTTTATAATTAGAAAGTATCCTTTGAGTTTAAACCCCTGTTTAAATAAAACTACTATTTGTCACAGAGACTCTTTAAGCAAAGGACAATACTCAGTGTGTTCTAAAGTGTTATGTTGGAGGAAAAGGATGAATAAGGAGAGAAATTTTCCTTCCATTATTTTGAGCAGAAATCAATGTTAAATGGAAATGGCTAAAATCACCTGGTACTTTTAAACTGGGCTATTTTAAAAAAGGCAAAAAATACCTCTACAAAAATTGTTTTATAAATAAAAAAGCCCCATCCTTTTAAATGGTCTTTTTAAAAAGAGGAAGCACTACATACATTTAAAAGACAAGATGAATTGAACGTATAAAGGCAAAAAAATTCAGAGGTAAGGTCTAGAGGTAAACTCTGGGCTGGATTTGGCTGAGAAGCGACTGCCTCTGAAAATTATTGTAGATCTAGTGCTAAATAAGTACGAGAAATAACTCAAAACTACCAAATCTAGTGATCACTGGGAAGCTACTACAGTGATAAGTGACCACAGAATAAGAACAGCACCCAAATGCAGAGTTTGTTCTGTATCTTCTTCCTTGTATAATACTACCAGAAAGAAGAGCTCGACTAGTCTGAGAGTTGAGTATGCCTAAAATATCCTTCTAAATTATTCAACACAATCTTACTATGTTTTGGTACGTGAATCCAGGTTAAATTATAATAATAGCATGTTCACTGCAGGATAGTAAAGCCAAAGTCTGGTATTTCGGTGCCTCTGGATAGATTATGAAATGCTAAAAATTATTCTCTCTTCCTATGTGTTTTACATTCTTTATTTGGAACAAAATACAACAAAAAGATGAAAGTCTATTTGCATGTAACTTTCATCCTTGGCTTGAAAGTCTGTGAAGTATGGATCACATGATAAAGACATTTCAATTGTTGATATAAATGAATCTAGTTTTCCCTAAGTACAGTGTGGTATTAAACTGTAGTCTGTACTTAGTATCTATAACAGGAATTCTGTTCCTGCTGCTTTTCAGCTTTTGTAATTAAACTTAACAGAAAATGGTATGGACATATACAGCAAAGACAACCTTCTTCACCAAGAGAAGAAACTAATAACAAACCACTGAAAATGAAGCACTGAGTCTTCACTTCAGAAGGATGCAAACTCATATCCCAAAGGATAGTATGGCAAGAAAGCTAATGACATTAGTACATAGTTAACAATGCTCTTTCCTCATAATTGAGATGTACTCTTTCCTTAGATCTAAGAACGTTCAGGTGGTGTTTGCTTAAAATAGGTCATGGCATGAATATCTGAAGTAATTATTACTATCAGAAAAGTTTAATTCACTTCTTCACAATGAAAGAGCATTTAACTTATGTTGATTGCTTTTTTTTCTCTGCTCCCCCCTCCTCCACTTCTGCTAATAGCAAAACTCACAAGTTTTGGTCATATAGGGATCTCATGGCACCAAAGGATGTAAGAAAAATTAAATGGAGTCTTTAAAGATCACTTGAAGCCAAGTAATAGAAGGGAGGCATTGAGAACAGAGAGCAGATGTCTTCCCTCAGAGAGTCAGTAGATAAGCTCTGAGCCAGCCTGGTCCAAGCATAGTAGGGGAGCTTTGAACTTGACTTTTCTGTATTCTCAGTTTACCTTAACATATTGGCATTTTCATCAACCTGTTGGTTGTCATATTGCTAGCCAGTGTTGAAGCTGTAAGGGAACAGAAGTAGTTGTTTAATAACATTATTGATTCAAATGATGATAGTGAGAGATGTTTTAAATATATTGGTTGACAAATCTAGAGTTACAAAGAGGTTTCAAAATAATGGATAGATTATAACCAAATTTCTGCTTTGCAGTGTGAAATGTACTGAATATAAAACCTATTTACTCAGCTCTCAGTTCAGTTTTAAAATTCAGAACTGCCAAACGTATATGAGAAGAAAATTTTTGTACTTGTTTGATTACAGTAGTCAGTGTTTTGTTTGCAAACTTAAAACACCGTGAAACAAAGCACCAACTATGCTTTAGAAATAACAAAGCTATTCCTAGTGGTTTGTTGAAGACAGCCCTAAATTAATATGCCCTGGTGTTTGGCATGATTTGAGGTATCATTAGGAATTTACTTCTGTGTACAATCTTTTCTAATGTAAGTGAAATTAATTTGCTTCCTTTTTGCCATTATAGATTTGGGTTCAGAAGACCAGTACTGTGTAGGAAAGGCTCTTTATAGCCCATTTGCACAGGAACATCAGCCTCTGCAAAAATGAAGTTATTACTTATGGCTGGAACATTAAATCTTCAGACAACTGAGGTCAGGAATAGGGGAAAGAGAAGGCAGGAAGAGGTGCTGTGCTACTACATACTCTTGGCCACATCAAATAAATCATAGTCATGGAACAGGAAGCCTTTTCTTCCTGCTTCTATTCTGCATACAATAAATCTACACTTAGATTATTTCCTTTAAAATTCAAAATTATACTTCAAACAGTATTTTTCAGAGTAAGCAAAAGGCAAATTTCTTTTTTCAATACCAACATATAAGCCACCACTGCAAAATCTGGGTCATGTTTTGAGGTGGTGTGCATAATTCTAATTGCTTTCAACTTTGAAGACAGAAAGTGGTCCAGCATGAATGCTGATAAGTGTAACAAGCTTCATATTTGCATCCTTTTTATCTTCTACAAAAAGGACTTTATTTCAATAAGCTCATTTTATTTGCTAAAAGGAAAGCAGTATTTGGAAACCTATAGCATATTTTTCATGGCTGCTTAAGCCTCCAGCAGTGTTTTCAATCAACTGTAGGCGTGTGGGGAAAGCCTATTCCACATAACCTAGCACATTATTTCATCATGGCCATTATGTCTAAGCTCTGACACTGGATATTTGTTTTGCTGTTTACCATGTGTTGTGGTATATAATTGGAGTTTAGGAAACATGACTTCAGATTGCTATGCAATAATTGAGGGAGAGGCTGTGACCTGTTCAAGTGCACATGATAGTTTGGAAATACCTTTGTCCCTTGGTGAGATCTCACTGTATTCAGATACAGTGTAAAATACTCAATTTGGGTGATCTGTAAAATTGTGAGTTCTGCTTAGTCAAAGAAGGAAGGTGTCAAAAACCTTCCAACAGACTTGATGCGTATGGTACTGAGCCTCCTGCATCTTGTAAGGCTGGCAGAAATAAATAACCAAAGACCTGCAAAGGTATTGAGATTGGTGCAAACCTGTAGTTGTTGCACAAGACAGGAAAGGTTTGGTATCAGGAGTGGAAAGGTGGTGAAAGGAGTACAAACCTTAAACTGCCTGACATTTCCTTGGGCCACGAGTTGGTGCTCATTTTCAGGTGTGATGCAGTAAGCTAGTCTCTAAACCAGATGAGAAGAAGAGGAAAAGTCAGCCATATGAAGTGGGATTATGTTTGCAATCTCCAGTCTATAATGGAGAAGTAGCATGAACTTTATTTAAAACAATAACTTAAATCTTAAATATCATTGCATCATGTGCCTTTACCTCAGACACTGAGAGAACAAGCTTATTATAAGCCCCTTGGTATTAGCCTTTAATATAAGAAGCAAGAGTAGAAACTTTATGCAAATAGTAAGTCCAAATATTTAGCATGTGCATATGGAAAAGAACATCAGGAACAGGTATCACAGGCCCTACATCCCCTATATTCATACTTTTCTGTTAGTTCCCTGTGTGAGAAGGAGATACTGACTATTTCCCAGCTCATCTCCCTTGTGTACTCTATGCTGTGCCATTTGGGATCACGCGTAGATTTTCTTTTATCATGAACTTTCACATTAGACTAAGAGCGTACCTTTCCCCATACTTTTAAGAGCCATGATTTAGGGCATCATATCTTATGATAGTTATTTGGATGTAATATATTAGCCTTTTGCTATGTTTCTCATGGGGAGACTGGAGACTTGCACTCTACAGGAGCTGTAAAAGACAAACCAGGACTTGCTAACACTACAAAATGAATGAGAAAATGTGGTTTTGGGCAAAGGCTTCTGAATGCTATTATCAATAAACCCGTGCAAGATGACAAAAGCCTGTTGGGCCAGTACAAATTATTCTTTGATGCTTGGATGCTACTAGAAAGTGGGTTTGTAAACCCCCAGGAATTGAACAAAACAAAGGGCTTATAGAATTGCTGGAAATGAGAACTACAAATTGTGCACAACATTGAGATTTTGGAGCTTATTGAAACAGGGCAGGTAAAGATGAGTTCCCACTTTGGGGGGCCTTTCTGACGTGAACATTAAAAGAGGTGACTGTTTCAGGAACAAGGCATTTATCTCTTTTTGTCTGCCAGGTCTATGTGAGAGGGATGTGCCCCATCTAGGTAAAGGGTGAGATCCTATTTTCTGCTTAATTCTCTGTGTGGTGGTTGTTCAGTGATTTGCCTAAGAACACCAGTATCTTGCTACACCATTGTGTAACTCTAGTTAAAGGAAAGGAGAGCAAGAGAACTAGTCAGAGTCTAAATTAGGTTATAAAATTATGGCATGTGATGGGACAAAAATTGATGCTGTATAATAGTAAGGAGTCTTACTTCTGAGCACCATTAGAGTTTATAAGACTACAGATAACATACTATGACAGTGATGGTAGAATTAATATGATCAGTGAACCTTAATCCTGTCCCTTTTGAATTGATAAATAAAGTACAGGGGGGTGAACTGTAAGGAAATATGGATGCATTTTTTCCCATAGAAGCAGGTACTTTTAAATAGAATTAATATATTAATATTACACATAAATGTATAAATGAAGTTAAAAGAACACTATTAAGGTTGCAATGTTGAACTTGTGGCTGTTAGGCAAATCATTAGGCTAAGATGGTCACAAGCTGTTTTTCTCTCAGTTTCTGCTTTATCTGGTGCACAGACCAGGCATATTATGCATGAAGAGGGTTTATGTAGTGCAAGGTGTTGCTGTCTAGTACCCTGGTTCTTTTACTGCTTGACTTCCAGGTCTATTTCAGCACCTTGGTCTACCTTGAATGTTAAGATTCTTCAAGCATTCTGATATTAGTGATAAACACAACAGAAAGAACTGCATTAATTCTATCCTTGGAAGAATGTTGAAATAATTTCAGTAAATGGAGGATAAGGATACATGTTTGACAGAGAAAATCAAATTGGAAGCAGCTGCTGTTAAAGACAGAATACTGGGCTAAATGGAGTTATTGCTGTGGCCCAGTAAGGCATTTCTTCTGTCCTTGCTGGATGATCATTACATAAACAAAGGCATTTCTGAACACAGGGCTACTCTGGGGGCACATCCCACCTTCCCAGCCTGTGGATATATGTTTAGAGACTCTTATTAATGCTAAAATAGGAGAGTTCTGAATTACCTTTGTTCATGTAACAGTTCACAACACTCCAGTATAGAGTGATAAAGCATACCTTGGGCTGAACTCTGTTTAGGTAGAACTGTGTGAAAACCATACCTCAGAGCTCAATATGAAGATACCATAATTTGTATATTTTTTTGTAAATAAGAAATAAAATAATCTCATCAGATTAATTACATGCATCAAAAATGATTTTTCATAATTACTGTGGTGCTGTCTTTAAAGCTAATTTCTATCTAGAAACTCAAACAGCATGCAGTATTCCAACCTCAAAACTCCAATCTATTTGACGGTTGGATCTAAAAGGTCACTCCTAAGTAATAAGTTTTGGGAGTAAGAGAAGCAAACTGCCAATTTAGATGCAGCCATTTAATTTCATAGCAACATTTCATGACATTTTACAGTGTTCCACTTACTTCTTTAAAGGTCCCACGCACATTCATAAATTTATAGATAATATAGGCAGGCACAAGTATCATTGAAGATAATGCTATTCCCCAGCCAATGCGATTTGCCCAGAGAGGGAAGGTGTAGTCGTCGTAGGTCAGAGGTTTGAAATTTATTATGCTGACTATCACAACAAACTAGGGAAGAAAGAATAAAATGAACCTCAGTTTTGACATTATGAAACTTGGTGGAAAACCAATTTCATGTGTTTTATTAGGCAGCCACCCTAAGTTATATTTTAACCCAGCTTTGCCATTTACCTTCATCCTATTTTGTGCCTCTTATCACTTAAGCTGTTGAAGTTCTTGATACATTTACTAGTATTAACAGTTCATTTTAGCTACTCTGGACACAAATTATTTGAAATTTTGGTGGGAAGATCAGGTGGTTGTTTGTGACTGCCTCATTTAAACTAGTGTTACAGATATAAAAAAAAAGGATTCTGTAGTCAAGAAAAACCTCTTGCAGGATCTACAGTTTTTCCCTTCTTTGTTTGCCAGAGACATGAGGCTTCATTTAGAAGTTTTGTACTCATTTGCATAATGCAAACTCCAGCATGATCCGTTTATTGAGGAAAGGTCAAGCAGCCTTAAGTCTGGGAAAACAAAGTTGTTTTTTTTCTCTGCTGATGTTACCCTGTCCAGTACTAGATGCAAGAAGGAAAGAGTGGGGTACCACCCTACTTCCCTCCTGGTAAATTCATATGGGTTGTGTAATATGCAGTGTTCCTTGATTTGGTTCTCTGGCTGTATACGTTCTGCTCCATATCGCAATTTCAAATTAAAGTATTTTGAGCCTACGGTTTTGAAGACTGCACAAGGAGAGTAATGGTGTGGGTTGAAGGAAGCCAGTAGTGTGAAATCCAGTTAGAAAAATACTAATTCTATTTTGAGATTTTTGGGGGGATGTTGTACATAGCTGCAGTCAGTATGGAGAAAAAGCTTCAAGGAGAATTATCTTTTCCTTATATCTTTTATTTTCCTAATATCAGATACCTGACTAACTCCAACTTACCTTTTTCTTATAGAGAATTGTATTTATTGTTAGGAACTGCTCTAATATATTACCAGTCCCAAACAGGGGCCGCCTTGCACTAAGCACACATGGGATTGTTAGAGCAAGAATTATACTGAAGTCTGACAGTTTTATAGCCTTTTCCAAATTAGCCTAAACTATGTCTATCAGAGAAACTATATCTGATTTTTTTCATTTCCATTTACTATGTTTATGGTCTCAGTCTCTGGTGAGACAGTTTGTATGCTTCATACATGTGCTATAAAAATGCTGTTTCTTAGATCAAGTGACCAAATTTCTAGTTTTTAATTATGTAGGGTAATGGTGGACTACCTTTTTTTCATCCTAGTGACCATCTTTATATAGTTTTCACTTATAAATTATTATGTTAAACCATTTTGGTTAATTTAACATGATTTGCTTTATTTTCTTAATGTATTGAATAAAGAACCCAAAGGATAGGCTGTAAGAAGGTAAATTAATTGTAATGTCCATGTTGCCTTTTAGAAGATTGAGAAAATGTACAGCTATAAGAAAACTGCCCAATGTCCCCTAACCTGTGTGATACCATTCCCATGGGTTATAAAATATATTGATAACCAGTAATTAATTCTATATGTTCCAAGTTAACACTTCCAGCTTGAAAAGAATTTGTGCACTGTGATGGCTGAAAGATGCATTACCTACAGATTCATTCTGACCCTTACGTTTATAGGCTTCAGTAGGAAGGTACTAGGGCTGTTTCACCAAGAATTCTTTAGCTACGCGAAGGTTAGACTGACAGTCACTTCAGCTTTCTCTAGCTAGCTTGCTAGAACTCTCTTTTTGTAAAATTTCAATTTTCAACAGTCTCCTATTGTGCAGAACCTAAGGATGCATGGTGCAGCATTTTTGCATTCTACATCTGTCAGCCTGTTTGAAGTGCTGGAGGGTATAGTTCCATACAAGCTTCTTTATAGAACAGTGTTTAAAGAGATAATTAATACATGCTTTGTAGCTGCTCACTGATGAATCCGGGCCAGAAGTTTTTATATCAAAAAAAAGGACCTGAAGGTTGTCATAAAAGCCTACCCAGTGTATTTTTCGAATGCCAGTACTCCTTTAAGAATGCACAGCTTTAATGCAATTAAGTCTCCTAAAATCATTGCGAGGTCAGATTTCCATATTATTCATCCCGACCTTTTGATTTACAAATACGCATAGGAAAAGATCCCAATATAAAACTGTAGTTTAGTTATAAATCTAACCTTTACACAAGGCAACCACATTCACACTTTGAGATTTTTTTTCCCCCAAATGCACTTGTTTTCCACATCAGGCAGCTTACAAGGTACATTTAATACATTTCTTCAGCATTTCACATAGCTAATTACTGGGTGTAGTTGCATATTAGTTTTTCTAAGGTGTCATTCCACAATTCAGGGACCTTGGTATCCTCCAATGAAAAATACTTGCTAACACAGTCTCTCATCCCTGGATAGTTTATTTTCCCAACAGAATGATTTGTGTTTAATATGCAAAGATGGTGGGAGGGACAGGGAGGACACTGCCTAAGTGTTCAGTGTTCCCTAAGAAAACCTGCTTTCTTTAAATCCTGCTAAAGTAAAGGAACAGAAGATGACCACAGCCATAATTAGCTTCTCTTTCACAACTGAAGTGAATTATACAAAATATAACCAATGCAATTGAGGAGAAAAAAGAATTAAATTGGAGTGTTTTCTATTCACCCTGACAATATCAGGCATAGCAATGGGTAGCTTGTACTTGGTACCTATTGTATATTCTAGGAAGCAACATACTAGCATTCTTTCCATGATGAAATAGTTATCAAAACTTACCAATAAAAAAGCAGGGCTAACAAATTTCCAGCACAATCTCCAGTAGAGGCCTGGCTTGAAGCCCATCATTTGTTGAATATCTTCACTGAATCTGTCCACACCTAGAAGGGATATGAACATCAGACTGGCATAAATCTAAACTGCTGTCCTGGGTTCCTCAGGACATACCACGCTCTTTAACAGTGAATAAGAAAGAAATGGCATTTCAGTCAGTGCCCTTTAATTGCATATGGATTTTACACATTTAAGTAAGTGCTACAAATTCTGTGTCTGAATACCATAGGAAGCACTGCACAAGTGTAATGTGCTTTCTGTGAGTGGCACTAGCCTGATCTAGCTAAACATTTTGAATCATCTACAGGGGTATCAAGATGTCTATATGTGAGAAATGTTTTATGTTTTTTGTTTTGTTTTTTTTTTTTTTCTCTAATGATATTAATTCACATCAATTCACATGCTTTGGACTTTCTGGAAATAATCTAGTCTTCAGTGAGACATTTCCCATTGTCCCTATTTATTGGAACACTTTTTTTGCATTAAGTAATTCATTATAATTTACTGTGCAAAGCAAACATGCATTTTATAGTGACTCTAAAATGTCCATTTGAATGGTAGCTTCTTATCAGTTTTTTTACTGATTCTATTATGGTTGGATTTACCAGTATGAGGTATCTTGCAGGGGTTTAATCTAAGCCCATGCTATTTCCCACACTGTATTTTAGAATGGGATGATTATCGCTGATATAAAAATGGGGAAAAAATCTCCTTCTCAGTTTTCTTTAAAAGTAAAATAATCTCTGACTTTACATCCTAAGGACATTGGCTCACAGAGAAGTAGATCTCTCTAGTGCAATCTGTCATGTCAGACTTAAGTTAAAGTATAATTTATTATACTTGATATCTTCAGGAAGTTTACTTTTAGTGCTGAACCTCATTAGGTAAACAGCAGAAATGCAGCTTTTTGCCATGAATACTTATTCGTTAGGGAGAATACATAGTTTACAAAAAAAAAATTGTTTCTCTTCATTTGGATCAGTTCAGTAGGATTTATTTAATATATTTAATGTAAATAATTAGGGCTGTTTGAGCTAATCCTTTCCATGCAGCCAGGATGTAACGTAGTTACACAGTCTGGACATTTGAGTGTAAACTTCTCTTTGACTACACCCCACCCCACCCCTGCAATATTACCTACAGGTGAAGAAAAGTAGCCAAAAGGATCTGTAAATGCTCTTTAAATTTAATCTAATTCTATTTGCAGTGCCTTCTGTGAACTTTAAAGTGACTGAATTTCAACTGCTGTGAATACTGAGTGAAATTTATCATTGTGCAGAAGGTCAAAGACAAGGACTAGATAGCTCAAAAAATTTTATTCATAGGTTTCTGGACAGATGTACCCAGAGCTCAAGTAGTGCTTGGTGTTCACTTTCTACTGAAAATGAGGGATAAGTAGGCCATGCTCTCTGACTGCTTTTTCAACAACATGCTTTTACAATACTATATATCTTCAAATAACTGTTCTAAGAATCAACCTGTAAAGTGGAACATAGCTATATCTACAGATGACGGTACCTGTAGGGCTTGGGTTTTTCCCATTCTTGAAAGAAGTTATTCTTTTTTTTTCTTTTTTTTTTTTTTTTGTGTGTGTGTGTGATTCTGTAGGATAAACTGAAACTGTGGGTGACTTGTTCAGTTACAGGAAGGAACTGGTGTTCCACAAACAAAACTCCAGATTACTTGCTGGAAGCCTAGTGTTAAATATAGAAATGATTGCCTTGCTCTTCCAGTGAAAAAAAAGAGAGATAGTTACAATTTATGATCGGGTCCTGGTTAAATACACTGAACCCAAAGAGAATTTCAGTGTAATTTCTGAACTAATAAACACTGCAGCTGCCTGAGAATGTCACCACTGTAATGGTCTATTAAATGGCACAGAAAAATTGGCCCATGCTCTATGTACATAATATTGTGTTGTCAAGGGAATTAAATCAATATACAAAAAAGAACAGATTAGGAAGAAGGTGAAAAGTAAATTTGGCTATAAATACAATTTACCCTTCTCACATTGGGACAACCTTCTTTCATCTCAGTGATGCAGAGATCAGAGTTTAGATGGAATGGAAGCCTACATGTCACCAATACCTCCTGCACCCGCTGCCTGCCAGAACTTTGTAAGTCATTTTGCTGTATCAGCTCAGCCAGTGGCTTCAGATCCACTCACTTGCACAGAAGCCCCTGAGCAGGTCCTGGCCCTGAGGTGAAACTGCTTAGTGGCCATATCTGAAATAATCTGTGGGCATGTTTCCAAAAGGTAGTGTCATAGCAACTAGCGTTTGGATCCCTACAAGCAATCTTTGTATGTGTTGTTTTCCCCTCCTGCCTTGTTTAACTATGTGATGTATGGTATTCTTTTATATGCTTCGATTTTGTTTTTATTTGGAAAGTAGAAATTAGTAGTAATGCCTTTAATGCCACACATATGATTTAAATGTATCCAAGAAATCAAATGACTACACTGAAATAATATAGTAGTAAGAAAAAATATTTATTGAATCAGTCTTGAAATTATTTTGGACTTAATTCCCTTTTCCTGTGACTATTACTTCACTGTTTTTCCTCCCATACTGAGTTTTACTTGTGTGGACATGCGTAGAAGTGTATAAGCTCACATGGTTTGTATGCAAATGAAGATTTGCAGTGAAATTGCTTCATTGATCCATCCTATATTTTGACCCTCAAGAATTACAGTTAATCATAGAACCATCAAATTATTCCTCTTGGAGGAATTTTTGGGAGGTCTCTAGTTCAGTTTCTTTCTCAAAACAAGGTCAGCACAATTCAGATACAGCTTTCTCATGGCTTTGTCCAGTTGAGTCTTGAAAAACTCCAAGAACAAAGTCAGCAAGCACTCTCTGGGCAAACTGTTCCAGTCTGAAATTATCCTTATATAGAAAAATGGGTTTCCTTCTTTCAATCTGATCATTGTCTTCTGTCTTCCCATTGTGCACTTAAGTGAAAAGCCTGACTCTCTTTCTTGATAACTTCCTTGTAGGTATTAGAAGGCCACTATCAGGTCCTCCCTAAACCTCCTCCAGGCTAAATGAGCTCAGTTCTCTCAGACTTTCTTCACAGGGCATGTGCTCTAGCTCCTGAACATCTTGTTGGCCCAGCACTGGACTCTCACCAGTTTGACACCACCTCCTTTTAATGACCGCCAAAACCAGGACGCGATATTCCAGCTGCAGTCTAGCAAGTGCCAGGTAAAAGAGAGTAATCATTTCCCTTAGTCTCCTGGTTACGCTTCTGGTACAGCTCAGTATGCTGTTGGCCTTCATATGCTGGCAGGTCACTCTTTCGACTCGTTTAGCCTGCTGCCCACATCCATGAGCAGCTCATCTTTGAGTACAAGTAGCAAATCCAGAAAGTGTCGCTTCTGGTTTGCCCACCTAGCATCTATGATAAGAAGTTGCTCCTGATAGGCAAGATGATCTGCAAGAACCAGCATCTGATTTGGAGACGTCTTTAAGTCATCTAAAGAAGGTTTCTTCCACTTCCTGATCCTGATCAGGCACTTTGTAGCAATATTCACCACAATGTCACCCTTGCTGGCCTCTGCCCAGACCCACAGGCACTCAGCCATCCTGTCATCCACTCGCTACATTTGAGTTGCTCTTCTGCACATAAAGATGACACCTGCTCCCAGCTTCTCTTAATGAGCACATATCTATCAACTGCAGAACCCCAGTCATACAAGCCATCATCCAAGAGAAGACAAGGAAAGACTTTGTTATTCCACACAGTTCAGTGATTGTTGGCATTGGGAACATGAGAAAGAAGGGATAAAAAGAATATAAAAAGCCATTGTGTAGCATACAATTGCAAATCCTATAGAGCACAGAACAAGGTATCTGTTGATTAGCCATGTAGTGAAGTAACAATAACTGTCCCTTTCTGTTCCTGCGTCTCCTCACTAACTCTGGAGCAATATTGGTACTCACTGGAGGTGACCCTCAGCTGGTGGCAGTGAGGGAGCAAACCATACCAGTACCATTCCCAAAGAAGGTCAGCTGTGCTAGTGTAAAAGAGAGCAGAACAGTAGGAAACATGTCCCCACCATGGCAGTGCAGTCAGCTCTCCAAGTTGGTTTGCCCCATTTATACTTCCATTCTGTGGAAATGTATGCATTCATACTTGGTCTCTCATGCCAGGCACACATCCATCCAAAAGCATTTGTGAGTACCAGCAGGCAGGATTTGGTTCATTTCTTTCCCTTTTACAAAATCACAGTTAACCTTAGATTTTTTTTTCTTTTCCAAATAAATGCACCTTTTGGTCGGAAATTTCAATCTAAGGGATCATTTTTGGAAATTATTTAAGTAAATGAAATGTAAAGTAAATGGGAGAGGTGTCTGGCTTTTCTTAGGATATTCATCAGAGGGATGATATCAGGATTGCACAAGAGGAAAAATGGTAACAAGCTAGCAGTCATAACTAAAATACATCTGTATGGGAAAACAAACTAGCTCTCCCTTCTGTTATACATACATTTGGCCTTTGCAAGAAGAAACTTCACAGTTAGTGGTCATAGGTATAATTTGAACTACATTTCCATGGTTTTGGTCTGTGCCAAAATGTCAGTGCTTGCCTTCAGGCTGGCTTAATATTAGGTTGGGTCATTAAGGCAGCTGGGGTCTATCAGAAAAAAGAGGTAGACAAGACCATGCCAGACTTAATCAGTTTATATAGCACCTGGGGCTGTAATAAGTTCTTTATAAAGCAACAGGTCATGCTGTGTCAGTAAAAACATCTGTCAGCTGCTTAAGACAAATGGATAGGTATTTTCCCAGTTATGGGGAGGTGGGAGGGAGAAAGGAAAAGATGAAGGACAGAAGGTGCAACAAATAAACAAAATTTGACTAACCTTGGCTTAGTCTATGAACCACATACATTGCTACTGTAAAGTGCAGTAAATCCTATTTTAATAGTAGCTCTTACCAACTGAAGAGTATTTTTATACCTCTGCTTGCAATCTAAGGTATGATCACTCTTCTGCATTCAGCTCTTTTACAGGGATTAAAGACAGTTGTCTGAAATTTAGTGCCTCCACTATTTTGAGAGAGAACACCATGTGAGCTGCTAGCTCCATGCTGATGTTGGGTGACAGAATTAGTACATTAAAGCTAGCTAAAAACTATTTATTTAGTAGATTTAACAGCTTTATGCATGAAGGCCATTCTTTCACCTCACTCACTCATCAACAGTTTTTAAGTGCAAGAGAGAGTTTATTTGACTAGAAGAATATGGTGGTGCAGAACTGATGGATAAATAAGTGTCTGAGGGAGGTAAATGGCACTAAGAATGATAATGTCCAAGAACCTTCTGAGTCATACATTAGCTATAAACACTATCTCTGAATAGAAATGAAGATGACTTCTGGAGGAAGAACAATCTTATTGGGAATCAGGACAGCTAGTTCGATACAGGCTTCAATGGAAAAAAGGTTTGCTGGCTGCTATGACATTGAAACCTGGTAATAATGAAGAGAATTGTGAGCAACCAGAAAGTATAGCATGAGAATTAGGAGATTAGGAAGAAAAACAAGAGCTCAAGAAACTTGATTGATACAGCAGCAAGCAACTTCAGATATAACTGATAGTTTGGACTATTGCAGGGAGATGACTTGTGTAAAACCTAGGATGCAGAAAATGCTATCGCTTTATTTCAAGAAAATTAGATGTTCTTTTTTGGGTCCTTAAAATTTTAATAACCCTGCCTATGACAAGATAAAGAACTGATAGCATTCTCCCCAGAAGAAAGGAAAAAATCACTTTCACTGTTGCTTTAGCAAGGTATGCCTGATTCAGATTAAATTATGACTTTTTTTTTTTTTTTTTCCCCCCCTGCTTGGTTTGGTGACTTAACAGCATTTCAATTTCTGCTCTTCTAGAGGTGGCATCTTTTCCAGTGAATAAGCTTGAGGATCTGTATTGCCCTACCTTCCTGTATGATAGGGAAAATTCTGAACTCTGGGTCAGTCCTAGAACACAAAAAGAACTCCTCTAGGGTTGAGGGCGAAGGAGAGAAGGGAAATCTTTGAAATACTGACTTCAGATATTTAAACACACCTCATCTCTTAAATACTTAATTAGGGACGGGGAGAACACCCACAGGTCAGATACTCTCTCATAACTTTATAATTAGAGGTTAAGCAGGCTATGTATATAGTAAAATATTTCTCCCGTAAGCAATATTCTGTTTAACCTTTTTGTTTTGCTTCTTTGAGAGTAGTAGTAGTCAACTTTGTCACTTATAGCAGAGGATTGTTTTTTTTCCTTGGTGAAATTAGACAACACAGGACATTTCACAAGGCTGTGAAGTTCTTGTAGGCTAAGGACTGAGCCCAGTGTCCTGCTATGTTGCCAAAGTCAGTATTGTGGCAGAAAACACAGCTTCAATTTGTTGGGCTTTTCCCAGTTAAGGTTATCCAAGTGCATTCATATGGGTTTAGAGTAGTGAATGTGGATGTTTGCCATCTTTGTGGTCATTTATACAGGGGGAAAGAAAAAAAATGTTTTTCTTCTTTCTTATGAAACTTGTGTATCGAGTGTCTTGCTTTTTATTTATGTTCCTTTAGGGAGGAGAAAAATATTAAAGGCCAAATAAGGCCAGGGAAGTTGTTTAATAAGCTGAGCACATCGTTGGAGACCTGAGTTAAATTATGAGCCATATTTTTTCCAGGGTACTGTAGCACATCACATCACACTGGTTGGCACACAGTGATTCCAGCCTAGTGCCAGAGATCAACTGAATACTCCTAAAACTGGCCATACTGGGGATAAAGCAAATTACCGCACCCTTTTTGTGGCATAAATTAGTATGAAATACTATAAATAGTATTATTTCTGGTATCTAGAATGTTGGGTATTCCACAGTTTACTATGAAATGAGACATACTTTAAACCACTACTGTTTTACAATTAAGTAGAATATTGTCTCAAGCAAAATGGACTAATGTAGGAATTAATATAACTCTCTGAAGACAAACTACCTTTATTTGTATTGCCTGGGTGGAGCTTGAGATTGGCCCTGGGGAAACCATGGAAAAGAGGAGCAGGTAAGTCTGTGTTTAGGCAAATCTGATTGCTTTGAAACTACCAGGTATGAACCTGTTACTGCAAGTTATCAGCTATGCTGAGAGCTGCAAAAGTAGTAACATTTCCATCCCACTGCAGTCTCCTTCACAAGACAGTTTTCTTTGGCTTTGTGTAGGATTTCAAAGCTTGGCTCACTGAATGTATGCATTCCTGTCACTATTCGTAAGTCGGATGAAAATCACTGTATGAAACCTGGTTGTCATGGTTCCATATATACAGGGCTATGCTGTTTTCCCTTAAAACGATGTGTAAGCCTGTCATGAGCACTCAGAATTTCAGAAAAGATTTTGCAGGTGCAAAATGAAGTGCTTACCATAAAACCAGGAAACTCCAATTGCCTCCATTAGAACAGCAAACAATATTGAAGTCCCAGCTGCAAATGTGTCCAGAAGTGTGAGCACGTAAATTCCACCCTAGCATTGGGGAGTTAAAAGAGGCAACAAAACAAAGTTACAAATAGAATCATCTCAGTAGCTTAGTATCTAGTTAACAGAAATCTGCTCTATGTGCAATGTTGTTTGAAGTCAAGTATTTTAATATGGAGCTCATGCTGCAGACATGGGTTCATATGTACATACAAAATAGTGGAATCAGACTTGCAACCTTTCTAAAGAGTCTTCCTTTCACCTGTGTCCTCACTTAACTGGGAAAGAGAGGCCTCAGTTCAGCATGATTCATGAGTGCTCTTGGCTCTCAGTGTTCATTGGAAGTTGATGGCACTGGCTGTTGGGGAAAATGCTCAGCAGCTTGTAGGACAGGGCCTGTCCTACAGGGCCTCTACAAACTACAGCAGTATTGGCAGGGATGGAGTTTCCACAAGCCATTATCAGTCAGTTTTTTCATGAGGCAAATTATTCTGCAGTCCAGTGAATCTGCAGTCTTAGACTGATGTCTCCTTTTCCCCGACTGCCTGCATCTGTCTTTTCCAACATTCCTGCAAAGGGACCAGTTGCATGTTAAGTCTGTTACCAGCCCAGCATGGAAGCAGCTTTGCCCTGTTTAGTTTCTTGGCTGTGGTATTAGCAAACCTTTGTTCAGTGGAGAGAGCAAACCAGATCATCTTCCTTCACAACAGCACATTTCTGTTCTTCAGTGGCTCATGACCGAGAACTGTAAATGCATTTATTAAAGCCTTGTTTTGCTGACATTTTTTTCAGCTGCAATTTTACAACTTTATGCCTCATTTTACACTGTGGTATGAATCTGTGTAAATTACAGCTCATTTTATTTAGTTTGGGCTAACAAGGAATGGAAGACCATGGTATATTTACCTGTTTCAAAATGAATCTGAATAAAGTATTTCAGGACATTCTTTGTCACATGTAAACAACTGAAAAGTTTGCAGTTTCAGTAGATTTTTGTTAAAAGTTTTTTTACAACCAAACTTAATCTCACTGTGCCTGTTCAGAAGGGGAGGAACAAAGGAATTATTTTCCATGTTTTTACCAATGGTATAAATAGCACTTACACTATTTAGATCCCTAGGTGATTTTAATCTCTGCAATCAATCAGTTTTCTATTTTCTTATAAAAATATGGTTTTCTGAAACAGCTGTGCATATTTACAAAAATAGAGAAAACAGTACTTAGGCCTTGTCTAGGTTTTGAATTCTGTGGGGACTTGTCCGGAAACTGAATGAACTTTGGTTGTTGTATTAGAAAGAAAATGTTGCTTATTGAATGACATTTGAGTTTGACCTCTTGTTTTTGCTCTACACCTGCTCTAAATGAATGTCTTTGCTATCAAACGTAGTAAAGTGAATGACAAATATGGTTTTGTAAGAAACATGTTTTGAAAATACAGCCTTAAAATTTCAGAGGACGAAATCAAACAGATTCATTTAATGTGATGGTATCTTAACGGTTTTTCTTTGTATTTTGTACACATTAGAAATGTTGTTCTTCAGTTATGCGAACCAATACATTTGAACAAGTCTGGGCAGTTTTGTGCATTCCAGCTGGTGGGGTGAACTTAAATCTAAGCAGGTGCCATTATTTAAAAGCTAGAGCTAGGTTGTTATCGTGAACTGCTGTAGCTCTCTTGAAGGCAGTGGAATTGCATGCATTGGCACCTCTTCAGATTCTTAACCACCAAGTTTAGTCTTGTGCTTGAGGAAATTTTATTCCAGTCGAAGCTTTGAATAAGGAGGGAGCACGTTCAATTCTTTAGGTAATAATAGAGATAGCATAGTATTAAAAGGATAGGTATTTAAAATGATAAATCTATTCTTAGTGTCTCAAATCTTTTCCAGTTTGAGGAAACTAGAGTAAAATTATTGTTGTATTCTTTAGGTCTAAAAAGATCTTTGTTATTTATAAACTTATGTCATTTCATTAATCTTAATAATAGATCTGGAAACCATTTCTAGGGAAGGAGGGAGGTTCAGCATATCTACTTTTATGGTGGCTACCTCACTTTTCAGTTGTTTTCTGACACTTGTGGCATCTTTGCTTACAAGGATTTTTGCTTTTTTCTCAAAAAAAAAAAATGGGAAGTTGTTTCCAACTTAGAACACAGTGATTCTCATCCTTTAATTAGTTGTCAACAGCCTGATGAGACAAATAATTCAGAATGATGGTAGTGATAAATACAGGTTACTCGATGTTCAGAGTAAGTTATCGGTGTTCTCTTTATGGTGTTAATAGTAAGAGATAAGACCTAGGTACATGAAGGAACATTAAGAAACACATGGGGGAGAGGAGATCATTATTCTAAACTCCTTTCACAAGAAGTGACTGTTTCATACTTGCTTCAAGAAGAGAATAGCCAGTTGACTGAGGGTCTGGTCTCTTGAAATTCTTAGTTCCTCACACAGGAGTAAGCACTCATACAGTTCCATTTAATGTGATTTAAATACCCACCAAAATACACAAAAGGAAACAAAAACAACACTAGCACAGACAGTTCTTTAGAACAAAGACGTGTAGATTCAGTTGATAGCTAATGATCTTGTGCAAAAAAGCAGAGAATCTTCAAGTAGATAAGAATAAAAGTAATGTTCTGGCCATAAAGTTGTTTAAGAATTAAAATTTATAACAAAGATAGTCACTCGACCCTATTCATATTTCTGTTTGATGAGGTTAACTGCATGTTTAAAGTAGCTTGTTGATGGAAAATTTTGTTGTACTTACATTGGTGATGCAAAAAAGGGCAAGTAGGAAAGTGCCAAAAGAAACACCAAAGGTGAAGAGCTTTCTGTGCTGCTTCAGAATTTGGAAATCATCTGCCAAGCCAGTGATGACAGCCTCCATTCCACCCATCTGAGGAAGGGAAGGCAAGAGCTCTGGTTAAACGCTACTGACTTTTGTAAATACATATTGAAGAATGTAAAGCAGCTTGTATAATTAATTCCCAACCACTGTATGATTTCTGATATTTCAGCTGTAAAACACTGGTATTCTGAGCTATCATTTATTGTCTTGTGGTAAGGAACAGAGTCAGGGATCTGGACATCAAGTGCCTTGGGTTTTGGCTTGATAGCCTTATCCCCTGCAGACCCTTTGCTACTCACCAGGATAGTAAGTAGACAGTGCTTTGGGAAAGATAATATACATTTTAATATACTTTGGGGAAAAGGCTGATAGCTTAAGTAACCAAACTCCTTAAGTGATTTCTAATATGAAGACATACACAATAAGCACCTAGGGGAAATGTACTGAACAAAGATTTTTTTTCAGCCATTGATTAACCACATCCAGTTTGACAAACATGAAAGAATTTTACTTTGTTTTCTAGAAGTTAATGCTGAATATTAGCCATTGTTTTGCAATATAGGAAAGGTACTTTCCAAGTTTTTATTGAACTTGCTGAGTTATGTAGTGGTTATGAATTACATTTCTTTCCACCGATGAAAGCATTCAGCCAGCCCTGCCTCCACCGAGAAGTTGTGAAAATGAATTCCAGTCTTCTGTCATAATAAATAAGTTTATTTAATATTTTTGGGAGGCTTGATTACATGATTTTTCTGATGCTGAAAGATCATGGCAAGACCTGGAATGCTTGGTGCAATACAATAGTCGGTTAGCAGGTGCTAACGTGGCCTGCACCTTTCCTATAAGAATATGATGAGACTAACATCTCTTGTTGAAATCAATAGCAGAGAATTATATCTCTAAAATTTCAATGATTCCTGATTGCTGGGGGCAGTGGGCCTGCTATTTTTTAAAGGTAACTAATGTTCATGAGTAAAATGTTCCAAAACCTACTGTAGGTTTTTCCTAGTAGGTATTTCCTACTGGGGGGGGGGGGGGGGGGGGTGCATCAGTGAGTGCCCTGCAGTTAAGATGGGTTACTATATTATTTTCTCAGAAGTTATTACTGTGTTGGCATTTAAATGGTCTTGGAGAAGTTGAAATTGGAAAGAGACAGCTTGGATTATTTTGCCTAAAGACCATCTTAATGTGCCATCATTTATTCCCCGTGTTAATTACCCTATGCCAAGATAGATACCTACTCCAAAAAACGTTTGCAAACATTTGTTCCGTTTTCTGGCCTTTCCATTGTTGCTTGCTTAAACTTGCATGATCAGATTTCTCTTTGCTTAAACATTTTGGCAGTTCCATTTTTGTACAGATGTCAGTATTTCTGTGCCAGTGCAGGCTTATATGCACGAATAAAAGTATTTGTATGTAATTATTCCTCTTTAGATATGGGATTATTTGAATTTTAGCTTTAAACATTGTTATTTTTCCTCCAGGGACTTGATCAGTCAAATGTTGGGGGAGTCGAGAAGATCACCATAAAAAATACTGCATGATCTGAGTTTTCCTAGGTAAATGTTGAAAAATACTGAACAAAATATGAACAAGCAAATCCCTCCCTTTCAGAAAGAAAGAGCTATACTTGGCCACAGTTTATCAGTTCATAGTATTTTAATTAGCACCACAAGAAAGAGCTTTCTCTACTTGTAGAAAAGGTGTGTTCTGCAATCTAAAGCTCTGTGTCTTTGTCATTCAAGTGTTTCTTTAGCTTGCCTTAAATTTACTGTTGTTGTAAAGTTAACTGTTTTGAATCTAAACACTTCTGGGCATGTATTTTCTTCTTTATTCTGCCCTATTTCTACTGGTCATTCATGCCCTTCCACTGTGCTAAACCCTTCATTTACATCCTTCATGTTTGCTTACAGTTGAAAAATGGCCAAGCTACAGACCCAGATATAACCGTACCTCAAACTTTTGAAAAAGGATCCAGATCTCAGTGTTATAAACACCACTGAACCTGAGCTGGAATCCAAAAATCCAAACATTTTGGGAACATTTAGACCTGAATCTGACCTTTACAGCCCAGACCTCACTCCACAAGATCTCATTCAGCTATTTGCCAATGATTATCAAAGCTTCATGCTGCAGCCTCATTTTTCTTAGTTTTGCTCTCCTCCATGTCAATTAATTTTTTCCCTTTCTTGTCCTTGAAAATGAATGAAGTTTGCTGAAGTTGTAAGCAATGGAAACACTTTTTTTTTTTTTTGCCATTACCATCAAGAAATTCCTAGACTGGCTCTGTACATTTAGAACTACGAAAGAGACTTCTATGCTTTAGAAAAGTAAAAAACCCCTATCCTGCTAAAAATGATGAATGTTTGTACATGGTTTGCTATTCCTTAAAGACCCTGTTTGTTTTTCCCAGACCTTTAAACTAAGTGTAGTAGGATGTCTCAGACCCTCTTTGGCAAGAACAGAGAAGTTCAAAACTTGTTAGGGAACTTGGGATACTTTTTTCTGGGCTGAAGTTTCTGTGATCCTGAATATCATGGTATAGTAAAAGTCATCATCTTATGGAGTGAGCAAATGCACTCATTGAACTAGGCATTTTACAGTAAGATAGTAGTAAGATGAAACCATGATGGAAATATTCTGGTGTGATTTTAAAATTGTGACTAAATTTACAGGAAATTCTGTATCATTGCTTGTATTAAAAAATCAGACTACCTTTAGACATTGTTTTGAGCAGATTAATGAATGCCAGTACATGTAAAAATCTCTTCTAGAAACCACTCTACTCAATGTCTTACTGTGACTTGTGTTATGACAGTAGGGTTCCAAAACCTTATTGGAGATTCGTAGTAGTAATAGTTCATAGCATTGATGCTGGGTTATACCTTTAAATAGTAATAATTGTTGATGAACAGCCCTTCTGTAAGGTCATAAAAAAAGCAGTGAGTAATTATTTGTAGGCTTGTAAAAGATTTGATCTTTTCCTAAACCTCTTAAATATTGTGAGTCTTTAAATATACTGACAGGAGTAACACTTGGTATGTCAGCTGTGACTGTGAAAACAGATTCAGTGAATGTACAGAATGCTTACTGGAAATGTAATAAACCCCCTGTTTAAGGTTGATACCTCTCCAGTTACAGAATATAACACTAAAGGAAAAATATCAAGGCAAGAAGGATAAACTACTCACAGAACTGTCAATGCCAAGAGTAAGGAGCATGATGAAGAATACCACAGCCCAAAACGTAGATCCTGAAAGAGTTGAAATTGCCTCTGGATAGAGGATGAAAACTAAACCAGCTCCTGAAATAGAAAGGAAGAAGTATTACTAAATGATGTTTCTTAGCTTCACAAAAGTGTTCATTTTAAAATTATGACTAAGTTGACTTTTATGTCAATCCACATCACACTCTGAGTACCTCTTAAAATAAAATTTACATTATACCAGAAATATATCCAAAATGCCTTAATAAGGTACTCATAGTCTTGTATTAAAAAAAAAAAAAAAATCTATCCTGTTCTTTTCCACTTCTGCTAATCTTTTAGGGGGTTTGCAATCTTACTAGCTATTTTTCAGCTATGTAGTAGAGAAGGAACCGTGTGGATGTGGACCCCACTGTGTGGCAGGAGAACTCTTTGATGTGATGATGGATACAGGAACTGAAATCATGGGTGAAACGTTACCAGTGAAAGGACTCCACAGCTGAGCTAACCAGAACGTCCAAACGAGTAACCAATGGCACTGAACAGCAATACTTTTGCAAGATACGATGCAGTAGTAAATGCCCGTTTGTTGCACAGGCTAAACATGTGAGGGGGGAGATGTTTGGGAACCTCAGTTCGGTAGAGGTGAGATGTGTCAACACCATTTACAGTTCGCATTTCTGAAAGGCATTTACACACAAAGTTTTAGTTCCAAGTAAGTTAATTCAGGTCACGTCCATAGGATTTTCACACTTTTCTGAAACAAATATAAACACATTCACAAAAAAATGGTGGATAAAAAGGGGGATAAAACTAGTATAAAATTAACCTCCTACCTTCAGTGGCTACATCCTCAATTTTAACTTTGTGCTCATGAGCCATGTAGCCCAGTATGGAGAAAATTGCGAATCCTGAGATGAAGCTTGTGACACAGTTAATGGTACTAGTCAGCAGAGCATCCCTAATGATGGAGAGAAGAACAGCCCAGTGAAAAAAGAAAAAAAACAAACCACTTTAAGAACTAGATGGGGATTGTTTTATAGCGATAGGAAGGTTCTTGTGAAATTGCCAATTGTGCAAATCTCGTATCATCACGCTCTGCTAGGAAACTACCTGCTTCTGTTTAATATTTTGATTTAAAATCGAGTTCTGGTCAAAAAAAAAATCAACAAAGCTGTATTAAATATTAAGGTATTAAAGAGTAATGTCACCATCCTAGCTAGTAGTTGCAACATAGCAAGACAGTAGCTTGTAGTGAAAGAGCCTTACTATTCATCAATTCGTGTGAGCAGATATTTAGGAGTATTTTCACACAACTCCAGGAGTGCATTTTTAGCAAACTGTGTTGCCATTCAGATGGCCCTGGATAATCATCCTTAGTCTGTAATGAGGTCCCTTCACCTATGAAGCTGGCTAGGTTTTTCTGAAAAAAATACAACTCTTCTTTAGGAGATTGTTACAGTAATGAAATTAGTTTAAAGGTTAAATGTTGTCCAATGTGCATCATACGGTAATGATTGTACAAAGTTGTGGTTTTAATCAATCTGCCATGGTATTATGATAGATGTATGAGTTTTCCTGGGTATTAATAATCCCTATTACCAAATCTTGCTTGAAGATAAGTAGGCCATACATCTTCAGATGTCTACCTAATCTTCACAGTCTCTTGTATGGGATCTTTTGCAGCCTGTGGCTTTTAGAACAGAGAACATGGCTCTGTGAACATCAGTAATGCCAAACAGTGATTTAATAAGCAGTAAGTAAATATGATTTCCTTTCATCAGTTACACTACCCAAAAAAGCATAGGTGTCATGCACAAAACTTTATCTTCTTCCTTATATTACTTTATAATATTGAAGGATTTATGTCTTGCGATTCTTAAAGTGTTTTCCTGGGGGAAAGCTGTAGGATCAAGAGGGACCAGACTGGACCCATAAACTCAAAGTCTTTTTAGTTATAAAAAAAGAAAATTGCTAGGTATTTGTCACTGATAAAATGGCAACAGTATTTCTTGTTTCCCACAACTGAAAAACATTCTTTTGCAGGTGGATAATGCTTCTTTTTGCTTACTCAGTGACTGGATTATGGGACGCTTATCTCCTAAACTGAACTGAGATAGCTTCTGCTATTTTGCATGTAAAATTAGATAATAATTTAAGTACAGGTTTTCATATTTTCTGGCCCTGACTTTCAGTATTGTTACCCTAGCTTACATTTATTGACACTATTCCTCTCAAGGAAGGTGTGTTGAGGCATACATGGGACAGTACAGTGCTGAGTCATGGCCTTTGGAAAAAGTACTACTTTGAATTTGTGCTGTTTCAACCAAGCCTTTTGAACAAAATATGTCAGCACATTAAAGAGTTATTTGACCGAAAGAAGGATATTTATAAGTGTTGGAAATGCTACTGAATTGAAGCTTGTTTTTATGGTCTGAACTGAAACATGGTATTTAATGAAACCACAAATTACTCTTACAGGGAAGGCAAGGCTTTTGAAGCAACATTTAACAAATATAGTAAGCTAAGAACTAAATAATATGATTTCACGTATGGTCTGTGGTGCTTTCTTAGTTTCAGATGGATTTTTTCCATTTCAGAGCAAAATTCTAACACAGAAGAGAAGCAATTATATAAGGAGCTGCTATAAGATTAATGCAAAATTACTTGTAGAAAATGATAAATGTTATTTTGGAAGACTGCTATGGCTAGCATTCTAACTGAAGGGTTCTCAAATCTGGTATTATTACCTACTGCAAATAATCATCTGGCAACTTAAAGTTGCTCTAGGTTAAGTACAAAGCTCTCTGAAGTCAGTGGAAGTATTCCATGATTTTGGTTTTCAATCTGTTTAAGGCAGTTCACATCTATATATTTTCTTGTATCTTTTCACTTTAATAATTTTTTGCCATCCTTTGGTTCGCAATATATTTATAATACATGTACTTTCCGAATTTATATTTCATGGGAAAATTTAAAGCGATGCTTGTTTTCATTCCACAGTGGAATGTTAACAACAGTTCTAAATGTTGTAAGTTCTCAGAAGGTACAGAGCAGTTCTGGTTGATTTTCCATGGCAGTGATTCAGCAAAACACTTACAAGCTAACTTTATTTAAAGTGCATTCCTAAAGTGGAGCTCAACATAAAATATCAGAAATATAATCCCAAAGCACAGAAACACTCCTGGAAACTGGAATAGTTCTGCTTTTAGTTCTTGGACCAATAAGATTTCGTCCTGTGTTCACTGTTGCACTTAATGGTACTTTTGAAAGGCAAACACAAGCACAGTTTACACAGCTGTCTAAAGTCCAAACCCAATCCCGTTCTGTTTTGCTGTATAGCAGCTATCTTGGCAGGTTCCTGTTACTAAAGTTTCAATAAGGAAAGCAGTGTTTCAAGATTTGAGTTGGTTGCTATGTCTACACAAAACTGACCACCATCATTAATAAATGACTGAAGATAAAAAGACAGTACTCATTCCAGCTGCAGTTGGAGTAAAATAGTTTAATTCTGAAGCAGTAATGAAAGAATAGGCTGTCTTACCTGTAACAGTTGTTGTCAAACTTATTGTAACTGGCAAATGCAATTAAAACGCCAAACCCGGCTCCTAAGGAGTAGAATATCTGAGTAGCTGCATCAATCCATACCTGCATAATGACACCAACATTGTCAGTGTCAGTTCAGTCCAAAAGATGTATCAGGGAAATGCAAGAAGTATACAAGACAGCTGGCTTTTGAAAAATTATGAGCATTCGTGCTTATGGGAGTGTAAGTGCTTCTCAACCCCCATGAGATGTCACATGGAGTACAGTCACAGTCTGGAATGGCTTAACCCGAAAGGGTAAGGGCCAAAGCAGTGGTCAAGTTTGCTGTGCCTGCACCCTGCTGCTCCAGTGGGGTGTACCAGTTGAATCTGCAGTTCTGAGCTTTTACTGAGTACTGAAATGATTATATGTTTTTTCTCTCGGGTGACAGAAATACACTTCCAATAGTTCTTGTTCCAAGTTAGTTTGGAATGTACAACCAGAAAATTAAAAATAGTTAATGGGCCAAGAGTTACAGGACTCTTTCCCATAAGAGAGCTTTCTTCATGGGACTGTTGGTACACTTTATATGATGCTTTCTTGTTTCAGAAGCCAAAACACGACTGACATGCTGTGAACAGAAGTGGGTAGGTTATCTGTCACCTTTCCCACTGAGTTGGAAGAGGAGTTATTCTTGTGATAGTCATTAGATTTCAGTTGAGATGCAGCTTGGTCATTTTAAGAATTTCCCACTAGGGAAAACATGTTTTTAATGCTGTAACATTTTCTAAAGTGACCTTCCAGCCCAACATCCACTCAGGATGTGCAGACAGCAGTCAGGAACAATGCCACAGTGCTGGTCTCCTGAATCAGAAGCCTGAAAATAGCCTACTGTGGTTAATGAGGGTTTCATTTATTCAGTTGTACATAGAAATACCTAAACAAGCATCTTCAAGAAAGGTAATGAAGTCATTGGAGTGAATAATACTCAACATTTATCAAGATGAAATTTTGTTTGATTATATCTGCCAAGTGCTCAAGACTGCAAAAAGCACTGGATTTCATCTCCATCCATCTCAACAAAATGAGATCCAATGTATCTATTCAGCAGCAGCTTTCTAACAGATCTAAGCAGTTTATGAGCTCCAGCTGCATTGGGATTTTAATGCTGAGCTATCACATTTGGCCCAGTGGGAAGAAAAAGGTTGCCTTATCCCATTCTGACATGATATATGAAAGCACTTATGCTAGTGATCTACTTTTTTCTCGACATAGATGATAGATGCTTTCAACTACTGCTTGCTGAAGACTGTGAACCATTTATTGAACTCTGGATTTGTAGAGAAACTTAATTTTATGAACTGGTGAGAGTTAATTACTTAATAGATTGTTCTTCATGTTATCTTTCATGTGTTTATTGCAAACTAGTGGATATAGGTGGATATGATTTTTCTCTAACTACAGTTCGTACAGGGCTTTTAGGTATCATGGACTTCTTCTACTAAATAGCAAAACAATCTTGTAAAATTCATTCCTTGATCATTCCTTTTGCATACCCAGTTACATCTTAATGTTTTATCTCCACACAAAGGTTGAGATCGAATAGGGTTGTACTCTGAAGAGTGTTTATGCGGATGAGTGAAGAAGGAGGGGTACAAAGCCTCTTATAATTTTTCTTGTTTTTTAAAACTTATGATAACTTGTGTTCTTAATGAGGTTTCTGAAATTTTTTAAAATAGATTTTGCTTAAACTATAACTAGATCTGCATGCTGCCACCATAAGGCACTTGTTTTTAGGGGTTCTCTAGCTCTTTTGTGTCTTGCCAGTGGAGTTGTACTCACTATACTTTCCCTTTCTTACTATTTAAGCACCATTAAGCATGTGCTTAAGTCCTATTGATTCAAATAAGAGGTTAGCACCTGCTGCCTACCAAAGGAGTTATGCATATGTTTAAGTATCTGTTGCATAAGAGTCTTGGCTCATAGTAGCTGATTAGGAAACAATTTGAGAAGATCAAGGTGAAGGGAAAAAAGAACAGAAGCCAGAAATTCCTTTGGAACTAAGATTAAATGCAGAACATTCCTTTTGTTATAACAAAGCAGGCTGTGAAACACCCAGTGGGGCTGGTTCTTCTGCAGTTTATGCTCATGTTCTCTGTCCACTTCAGCTGAATGTCATCTGATTGAAGCATATTCTAATATATTTTATGGTAGTGTATTGTTTTTATATGCACTGAAACATTTTACTGGAGACAGTCATCAATCTTTCCAGCTTTCTTCACAGTTGTTTAAATGCCATTATAACTTTTGTGCATACTCTTTCTTGTGTATGTGGATTTAAAGAATTCTTGTGATGTGCGGAGTGGAAACATTCTGTGCACCTCCAGATGTTACATAATCTTCAGGAAACTTGTTAAGGTGTATGGAAGAGCAAGTGTCTTCCTTGTGTCTGATTTAACTCTGCATTTAATGCTGATTCCTTTAACAGAATAGCTGCTGTTTTACACAGGTGTGTAATGTATCCATTTATGCAGTCGACATCAGTATTGTGGCTTTGTAGCTCCTGGACTTTCATCAAGGAACATAGCTAGGCATTGGTCTAGCTAAGAGGTCCTCAGGTGAATATCTTTCTCTCCTCTTTATAGTGATACCCATTGTGGATTTAATATCCCTGAAAATTGATGTGCCTCAGGGCTTGCTCAGTTCTGTGCAGTATGTGGTCCTATAAAATGAGGCAGACCTTGACATTGATCAGGATGTTCTAACATCTCAGGAGAGCATTGGCAGAGCCCTCTGTAGGTCACTAATGTTTGTGACTTAATACGTCTCTCTCTTAGACACTTCATCTAAGAGAAAAAAAAAAAAAATCGTAAATCGGAAAGATTCGGGAGCGCATTGGCATAGAACTGAAGCAGGAGTCTATTCTTTGGAGCCTGAGAAAAGAGATTAAGCACACAAGGCCATTGCAGCAGCAGGTATCCCAGTCTCAGAGCAGGAGAAAGGCTGATGTGACAAAACAGATTGTGAAACTTCTCCTTATAATAGATCTTTAGTCTTCTATTATTCTGGAGAAACTTTGTTGTTGTCTGGAAAATTTAGTTTTAGAAACAAATAACTTTAGGATCATCCAAATAGCAGCTGCAGAAATACTAAGCCAAGAAGGAGCAGTGCAAGGAATATCCTTCCAAAAGCCGAAGGCAGCTATGATTATGGAGGCCTAGATTCTGAGCTGATGCAAGCTGGCACAGCTCCGTCGACATCTAGTTGAACTTGTGATGTTTTTTTCCAAATAGCACTTAAAATATATAAGAAAAATTTAAGCATGTCCTTTGTTCATCCTTGCTTCTTTGTATTTATGTGTATGCATATATGTGAACTACTGAGTAGGCTACTGCCTTGGTGACAAAGGTGGATGACAGTCCCATATCTGAAATTCAGTTTGACTATTCCAAAACAGAGTGAGATGGGGGTCTCAGTTCTGGTGATAACTTGGGTTGTTGTAGAAATGCCAGTTTCCAAATTTAATATTACAAAACCAAGGAAGGATTTTTTTGCTAAGAGTGTATAAAATAGGTCTGTATTCAAACACTCAAGGTCTTTGTAATTATTCAGGAAAAGGCAAGATAGAATGCATAGGAAATGTACAGTGCAACTATATAAAGACTACAGACATCTCTGAAAGCTGCTCATTTTCGAGACTGTTCATTTCCTTTCAGTAGAACTATGTCCTCGCTTTTCAGTATTGTAACCATTTGAATGACCTCATGACCCACCCACAGACACACCACTGTTTTATAAATGATTTATGATATTTTTAGAATAGCACAGTGGTAAGATCTCTTGGTAGTCACCAGATCATTGTTCTTCATATGTCTGAAATACTGGTAATTTTGTGAGTTAGTGACTATACTCGTAGATCTTTCTTTACAATGGATGAAATAATTCTTAGTCCCAAGGTGCTCCACAAATTGAGTTGGTTTGGATATATTTAATGAGGATGTCTTGCAATGTTGTTAAGTGATGCAGTGAAACGTACATTACTTTCAATAGTAAGGTAAGAACACCATACTGTTGAAAATCTCATTCGTACGAAGAACCAAGATTTGATTAGGTGAGTTAGTCCGGATTTAGTTTGTTTAGTAAGGGTTTTTGTTTACCAGGTTAATATTTAACCTAGTGATTCAAAAGGCAAAATCTTCTTCCTGAGGGAATTCTTAGCCTTTTGAGAACTAAATTTTTGCATGACTCAATTTTCATGTATAAAGGATACCGCAATTTACAGGGTGCACAGTCAAAGCATGGACTTTTTTAAGGGACTGCTGCACCTGAAACTGCCCTCCGACAAGTTATTTGTGATCAGAACAGTGTGGGTTCAGGCTGAGATAGTCCTGTTACAGAGAGGGTTGGAAACTTAGACTGTCGGGGACAGTGCGCTAGTGCTTATGCAAAAGCAGAAATGTGGATATAAAATTTCAGAAATTAGCTCTAATATCTTCCGTTTTAATAACAGGGGACAACAGGTTTAATAATAGCAAGAGAATGAGAGCAGAAGAGTACACTTACTGTGGCTTCTTTTAATCTTCTGAAATCTATGTGCAGGTATGCATTTATTCCATTGTATGCACCAGGCAGGGTTATTCCATGTATTAACAAGACAAATAACACAACATAAGGCAAAGTGGCTGTTATCCAAACAACCTGCAGACAACAGAGGTTAACAACGGTTAATCAGCTGTTGCAGAAGATTTAAGAATGTGTGAAAAATAGAGCTGTCACTTCCTTGGTTTTGTCCATTCAGTTTGATGGAGAAACTCTTTATAGGATGTCTTGGGGGAAAATGCTGTTATGTGTCATAAATCTTTAAATATGTATGTTTACAGATAGCAGTAGGAGACAGTTTTAACAAGCGGAAGACTAGGAGTGATTATAGCTTACCAGTGTGCGTTATATTGCTGATTAGCCCTTCAGCTATATATTTGTTTACTAAACCAGTGCAGCCATTGCCTGATGCTAGGTGATACTTTCATGAAAATGTACAAAAAACTCTCAGATGCATCCAACCCTAGAATTTCTGTTGAGGTGTTTTCTGAGGGATATCAAAGAGTAATTTCAAATTACTTTCATCAGATATTTCCCTTGTCATGGCATTTTATATAATAAAACCAAAGCATCTTAAACCATTGGAACATTTGTACATTTGTTTAAGAATGGAAGGCACATTTCAGACAATTTAAAGTCTTTCAGAATATTTTCTGGATGAGACCACTAACCTTGAATTGAAAATAATATGCTAATAAAATTTCCAGTTGCAGCATCACACAAGCAAAACTTATAAGTAAAATAAAGGCTGAATCAGGAATGTGTATTTCCACTGCACATATATGAAGGCCTCTCACATGGTTTGGTCCCTGAGGATCCTCAGAAGCAGTGATTTAGTGTCTCGCTTTCTAAAATTAGGAGACTTCTTAAAGCAGACAAAGAATGTAGTCAAGATAGAAGGACAATATTAGCTCTACCTTTCCTGAAGTCTTCACGCCTTTCCACAGACTAAAGAAAAGAATGATTACCACCACCAAGAGGCAGAGGGAAAGTTGCCAGCGAGGCAAACCAAGGTCATGGATTCCGCGGCTTTCATGCAGGTGCAGAACTCCTCGCCTACATACCAGATAGAAACAAAGCGAAGTCACCGGGGAGAAAGGCTTTTACATACCTCAGCCTGTGAGCAGCAGAAATGGATGCTGGACTGCAGTAGTAGTTGCCCTACTGACATCCTTAGCAGTTAGTGAAATCTGTTTTGTGAAGCCATGTATTGTGCTTCTTCCCACAATGCCTTTATGGTCTCACTTGGCCCATCAGTGGCTGTTTAGCACTTCCTCCTTCACTGGAAGCGTTTGGGGATTTTGGAAGTGTCTTTCACTGATTCTTGCTTGAACACTGAACAGATGCCCAGAGAGGCTGCATGAATCTCCATCCTTGGAGATTTTAAAACTTGGCCAGTGAAGGCCTTGAGCAGACTAATTTACCTTTGAAGTTAGCCTTGCTTTGTGTAAGTTGTATTAGATGACCTTCAGAGACCTCTTTCAACTGAAATTGTTTTGTGATTCTAGATAAGCAAACAGCTGGCTTCCTGCAACTGGAGCAGTTCCAAAGTTACTTTAAATTTCTTTCTAAATAGAGTATTGTGAAGCTGCAAAAAAAGTGTTTGGATAGGAGGAGCAACAAATGGTAAATTTAAATTGGATACAGTGCTCTGTGTTGTTCACTGAGACAGTGGATTGACAGCAGAGGAAATTCTTGAGATCTACACAGTGAAATGGGTTGAAGTGTAGAAAAGAGTATTTGTCCTCATGACTGGTGATATCTACAATTAGAGTTGAGAAAACACATTGTGTGCCACAGGGATATGGGAGAGTGTATCTCCCTTCCTTTAACTCAGTTCTATGCTATTGAAGTATCTCTCGATGCTTTTACAAATGTAGAAGATGCAGAAATATTTTGCTTTACTGAAAGCTGTGTTTGTAAAGAGAAATGGCATTGTCACTGGAGCCCTGCACTAGAGGTGAATTGCAGAGCTAACTCCTGATTCTGATACAGATCTACAGGATGCTGGCTCAGGGATTCAATTTCTTAGTGTTTCAGTGCTCATTCAGATAAAATGGTCACGACCTTCCCTTGTCTCCTCCCCTTTCTCTATCACCTTTTATTTGCTATGAACTGCTTGGGTAAAATAGAAAGTTGATCTTTGTTGGCTTCTCTTAGCACCATGATAGTATAAACAAATCAAAGAAGCCCTTTTCACTGGAGGACCTTGACATGTTTTATGAAGTTAAGTGCATTTTAGAGAAACTGAATCATTGAGTTATTTGCCTTGAATGATTTTGCAGACATGTAGAGACTAAAGCCTAAGGAGACTCATTCTAGCCCCATTGGCTGTCCCTGTACAATCTCTTACTAGCTAGATGGCTTCAGAATTAACTGAAGCACTTATCAAGTCCGAGATGTATGAGATAGTTGGATAAGTTCCAAGACAGGGCAAGCCTGTGTCAACTTAAATGAGGAAAACTGAAAAATGTCTCTGTACTACTTAAACTGTAGAAACATGCTGGGAAAATTAAGGCCCATTAGAACTAGTAATATGAGAGAGTTGCATATAATTCCCTTATGATCCCTAAAGCATCCAGATAGGATCAGCTAAGAATTGTAATAGTTCTGCTCTGTAGTTTCTCATGTTTAAAAAGAAGTGCTGTATTTTTGAATTGTTTCTATGATTAATCCCAGGCTGGGTAGAAGATACTTGTAGAAAGCATTCTCCTAAACTAAGCAGGTGATCTGTTTCTGTTGCATTATAAGACCAATAACAAGTGAGGCATTAAAAGGGTAGTGACCATGTGCTTGTGCCATATTATTCAAGAATACTCCTAATTAGAAAGTATGAAGTGAGTTTAACTCACTTATAGCAATAGAGCTATATAACAATATTGCCGTTACCTGTGGAAACAGTAAAACATAGAGGCAGACTTCTTGATATCTTATCTAAAAACCTATTCTCTCTAATTAAATGTAAATAAATAGGTAGGTCTCATTCAACTTTTGCTCAGAGTGTGAATGAAATCTACTTGTATTTCTGCTAATAAAGTATAATTGGCCAGAGGATCCACAGGTGTAAGGAAATCCCGGGCAAGGATTCTTGATTCCATTCTAAATTTACCACCTTGACAGTGATAAGTATAGCCAGGAAAAGCTTCACAGGCTTCTGATCAGAACATCTGTCCAGGATCTTGGGACCGTTTTGGCAATCTCTGCTATCACAGTTACACTGCTATCTCCATCAGAGCTGCATGCTATAAATAAAGTCCTTTGGATTATGGTATGTGGATATCTACTCAGAAAAAGTGAATCTGAATTTGCATTCTTTGTGCCCATTTAACTATTTATTCTTCTTGCCTAAATATTTTCCTGGATTTGTAAAGAAGCCTGCTTCCTTCTGTGTTTGCTTTCCAAGAAGCAGCTAGCAGTGTGTCTTGCTGTTTGGAACACTTGCCAGAACTGCCATTTCAAATGTGGGATTCCCAGGACTTCCAGGAGAATCTCCATTCCAAGAGTTCTGCTCCCATAATCAGGGTAAAGTATCATAAAACAGGCAGAGAAAAATACTTTTGTAACCAGTCAAAACAGCTGTGTAACTGGGCAGCTAAGCAAGGAAATCTGCATAGGCAGCTGCTGTTCCTGAGCTGTAATTCTGGCAGGTTTTGCTTCCTTTTCCTTTTTTCTTTTTTGTTTTCCTTTGACCTCTGAAGATAAGTCATAGAAGCTTTCCAAAAGATGCCCTTTTTGATGGTTGCTGAGAAGTAGGTGAAGAATATTTACATACTAGAAGCTACATTTCTGTTCCAGCAGTGCCATAAAGTATAAAAGATCTAGTGCTAGACTGCAATTTAGGTTAAGATGTGCTGACTTCTGAAGAGATGGAGGAGAGAAGCAGTAGCCATAGTAATAGACAGAGTAAACCTTCTTGGTTTGAAGGATACAGATCTGTAATGTTCTTTGAAAAACAGTCATTTTTGGAGAAGGGCAAATTTGAAAAGAACCTTGCATTCATCATGTTCATTCAGGTTAGCATACATCAGTGATGCTATAGAAAATCCAGTTAGCTGAATTATGCCACAGTTATTTGACATCAAGGAGTACTTATTTCAGGAACAGCTGAGGCTGTTTTTAGCCTGTCTATGCTAAGGCAGGTTTAGTGATAAATCCCTGACTGGCTCCTTTAGATCATGCTCTGTCACTTCCCTTATACTGGCCACAAAGAGGAAAATGTTAAGTAAGAGATACTACAGAAATCCCCATTCAGGAAACTCTGAGGTCAAAACACCTGAATTTTCAGTCTTTTTCTACAGCAGAATAATGCAACATGGTCAACATCCATTCCTGATTTGAGGTTAACTTCACTAGCTGCAGGATTGTCCAATTTCCCAATGCTATAAAGACATGTAGAAGCCATAGACATGCTCTCTGTTAAATCCCTAAGCCAGGGAACCAAAGGAGACACAGCACCAAACAGTATCAGCCTCTGTTGTCTGACAACTTCTTTAAATGATGTCCAAAGTTACTCAGAATGTCTTAAGTAAAAGCTTCTGAAAGTAATTCCTGTTTCATAAGTATATAGATATTTGTCCAATTCTGCAAACAAAATAAACTCATGATTCAGAACCCTGAGTCAGAAAGAAAGGAAAAATCAGAGGCACTAAGACAACTAGAATCAGTATTTTGCCTGCAGATTGTTGTTATTGAGAAAAAAATGGAACTAGATGAGAAATACGTGCAAAAAGGAGAAGAAAATGTTATGGGGGAAAGATTAAGAATAAACAGTAACAGATGGGGCTGACACAAAGTAGAACAGGGACCTATTATATTATGATGAGCAATATACAAGAGCAGCTAATAAATTAAGTTTTCTGATATTCTAGTCAGAGGTTTAGCAATATTTAGTTAGTAGAGCACCAAGAATCAAAGAATATGCACTAGAGATAAGAAATTCACTTTTTTTTTTTTTTTTTTTTTAAATCAGGGATTTGTGCAAAGGAGATTGATTTATGCTAAGACTGCTTTCCATGCAGGGGAGTGTAAATTACAGTTGCAGTGACTTCGAGGAGACTGTACATCGCTGTAAATATGGGTCCCAAGAGTCTTCTGCCTATCTTCAAGAGGAGCAGGAATGTGAAGGGATTTCACATTGAAGCTGCGTTCAGACATTCTGGCTTCTCTCTTTGGGAGATTTCTCCTCATTCTCTCCCTCCCTGTGTTCTCTGCTGCGAAGATTCCCCATGTCACCTGATAACTCTGGCACCAATTCTTGACTTACTTCCACACCTTATTCAGCTAAAAAGAAATAGTTCAGCTCTGTTGAAACCAGCAAACAGCTATTCATTTGCTGGTACATCTGTCTTCTGTTTTGTCATCGTGTAGCACTTGGGTCCTCTTTAATTTGGTGTCAGATCACAAAGAGCCAACAAGAAGCCCAGCTGTTTGGTATTCACACATAAACCCTACTAAAGACAAAATATTGAGGCGGCAGGGCTGCTCAGTGGGACTCAGTAAATGAAGGATCCAGTCACAGTTCTAATAATAGGTAATGTTGGAACCAGTAAATTCTTCTCTGTGATTTAGTGTTCGCACCTATAAAATAAGGATTATTATAAACCTTTGCTTTGTCTCTACTGAGCAATTCAGAACATACTCTTTATGGAAGTGGTGAGTATTTGAGTATAAACAGGGAGCCAAACTGGACGAAAAAGAAATGCCAAGGGTTGTGATCTGAAAATTACTCTGTATCTTGCTCACTCCAAAACATTTAATCCATAGCCAGAAAACAGGGGATAAGAGTTCTGGGTGTAGAATTCTCCTAGACTTTTTTGTCAGACTGGTTCTTTCTAAGGACTTTTTAAGGAGCCTTTTGTATTATTCATCCCTAGGCAGATGCACATGATTGTATTTTGGAAATTTAGGTTTTATACAAACAGATTAAGTTAAAGGTCTTGGAGAAGGCTTCATTTTTCCATTCTCAAATCAATTATAATTTTAGGTTTCAATCCAAATATGATTATACAGCTCTATAGACTCATTCTTTCTCTTGTTATTAAAGGCAAAAGTTATTT